GCAACGCTCTGCTCGAGTCCTCCGAGGAGTAACGCGCGAGGGCTTTCGAGGCCACCGACGTGCGGGGGCAGCCCGGGGCCTGGACAGACGAGCTCGTCGCTTCCTGGAATCATCGACTTCATCAAGCAGCAGCACGGCCAGGGCCTCGCGTTCGCAGGTTCCGAGCGAGTGGACCGAGGCAGTGACGTCGACGAGGCCTACGCCCGCTTCTGCGAAAAGAACAAGGACGCGGCCCCGCTGCAAGGGCTGCAAGCGAACGAAATGCTCGCGCCCCAGCCGACAGAGCAGGGCGAGCACAAGGTCGTCACGGGCGTGGATCCGCGGAGCTACTCCATCGAGCCCAGTATCGGCGTCGAGCAGAGCCTGGCGAGGGAGCGCCTGGAGGGCACGCAGAGGTGGCCCGAGGGCGCGCCGCCCGCGCCCGAGTGGAGCACCCTCGACGGGAACTGTTTCCTCCAGGACGACTTGCCCAGGGACTACGAGCAGGGCGAGAACCCCTGCCCCCTGGAGCTCCGAGAGCTGGACCTCGAGCTCACCGACGAGCTGAAGGACATGCTCAGAACGCCAGAAGAGCGGATCGAGGAGATCCTGTTCCCGCGCGCCCTCGAGGGCCGAACCAAGCAGAAACGAACGGCAGCTCGCAAGAGCAGGTGGGCGCCCAAGTTCTCGGGCCAGTTCCTGGGCAAGCTGCGGCGCAGGCGGCAACGCGAGAAGGCCGAGACTGGCGGCGAGGCCGCGCCCGAGCACCTGAGCCGAGGCGTGGCCAAGGCGAAGCTCACAGGCAGGCCGCCAAAGGCGCAGACGAGCTTCTCCCAGGAGTTCAAGCAGAAGAAGCAAGCGGACGAGGACGCCAAGAAGCGAGCGAAGGCCAAAATGACAACAGGACTCGAGGCTTGCGAGGACCCCCCCATGGCACGGCAAAGTGGCGCGCGTCACCGAGGAGGGAGTCCACGAGGGCAGGCGCGGCAGAGTGCAGGACGTCTGGCGGGTCTTGGGCACCGAGGACGCGCACCGCCCGCGCGTCCTCGAGGCGGAGACCGCGGCGACCTTCCAGACCGAGAGCAGCGAGGCCGGGGGGCTCACAGGCACTCGTTAGCTTCCGCTTGCTTCCGGCTGAGGCGGCGGAAGCTAGCGGAAACGGCGGAAGCGACGGCGGAAGTTGGCGGAAGGTTGGCGGAAGCAGGCGGAAGCGACGCGAAGCGAAAGCAGGTGGAAACTAACGTGCGTTTGTAATCCATAGCGCCAGCCACAGGTCACGATCGAGCAGGATTGCAATTTTCCCAAGCCGCGCGAGCTCGACTGGCGCCAGACCGGACTGGCTCGCCGCACCGAGCTCGCCAAGGAGTACGCGACCATTACCTGCGAGCAGATCGTCATGGGCGACAGCCTCGAGCTAGGCACAGTGAACGCGCTGCTGGACGAGATCGAGGAGCGCGCGGGCGCCCCCGAGACCGTTTTGGCGGTCGAGCCCACGGCGGCCGTCGCACGGGCTCGAGAGGGCCAGGGCGGGGACGAACCCGCCGCCCAGCAGCCCGCGGAGCAGATGCGCTGGGCCGAGAGAGTCGACGAGGCCGAGCACGCCCTGGTTTGCGTGCACTCCGAGACGCCCGCGCGCTACACTTACTTCAAGGCCGGCGGTTCCTACAGTTGCCAGGGTGCCCCCAGTTGTTCGTTCCGCTTTGGAGCGAAACCTGGAGGCGCCCCTGCAGCAGCGCCCGTCATGGTCTCGAGGATCGGCGGGGGCGTCGCGGCGGAGTGCCGCGATGCCCTCAAGCAGCCGCCTGAGAACCCAAGCAGGCCTGGGGCAACATGCGAACTTACACTTACGCCCCACGGCTTCTGAGGGGGAGGCAGGGTTCACTTTGATCGGGAGCTGCCGAACGAAGTGAACCCAACCTGTCCCGTCAGAAATCGCGGGCAATTAGGGTTCGCACGTGGCCTCCCAGGGCCGCCGCGAGGACCCCCCGCAAGCTCGGCGCCATTGGCCTTGGCGAGACCTGCCCTGCGAGGAGCAACGAGATGTTCCAGGCAGGCGCGTGGCCGCGCGGCCTGTGGACGAGTCGCCAGATCGAGCGCGCCCTGCGCTAGATCCGAGGCGAGGGCCGCCAAGCGCCCGCGAGCATCAGCGCGACGCGCGCCCGCGGCAACGAGAAGACCAACAAACTTAAGGAGGCCAGCGACAACGACTCGGCCAAGGCCGAGGCCAAGAGCAAGGCCAAGTCCAAGCCCTTCAAGGACCCCGCGGTAGTCGAGCCGAAGCACGCCACCTTCGAGGAGGCAAGCGCTGCCGCCCAGACCTGCACCAAGTGCCCCCCGGCGCAAGGACGGCCCCAAAGGACGCCGAGCCTGCGTGGGCGAGTTGTCCGAGGCCGTGCGCAAGAGAGGTTTCTTGGCCAGAAGCGCCAGGGATTTCTCTTGCGCAGGCAAGTTGTCGCCACGAGCCTCGAGATCTCTCGAGTCAGTCTTGTGCCAAGATCGACAAGGATAGTCTACACGAACGCCCAGGACCATCATCACCATCATCTTCGTCATCATCATCACGTAACTAACATCACCTTTCCCGGGAAAATCGTTGACTGCCCCCGCCAGACCCCCAGTTTTTTGTTATCCCACGTGGATTATTATTGGGGGCGCAGGGTTACCCTCCCCCACCTCCCCGGGGTAACGACCGTAACCAGGCAAAGAAAACTAATGTAAGTTAGGGTGTAAGGGTCAGGGTGTTAGGGTTGGGGTGTTCGGGTTGGGATTCGGGCGTTTTGGCCTTGGCGTTGGGGTCAGGGTGCTACGTTTAGAGTGGTGGGGTTCGGGTAAAGACCGTAAGGTTCGGAGTAGGGTCTTAGAGCTAGGCACTGTAGGATGTTGGGGGCTAGGGTGTTGGGTTAGGGCGGTAAGGTTCGGCGTAGGGTGTTAGGGTTAGGGATCGGGCTCAGGGCGGCAGGGTTCGGGCTAGGGTGTTATGGCGCAAGGGTGTTAGGACCGGGGTGTTCGGGTTATGGTGTTAGGGTTATGGTGCCAGGTTCGGTCTGGATTCCGAGGCGCGATCCCGCGGATGCGCGGTCGCACGGATACGTTCCGCTCGGGGCACCCGCAGCAACGACGCCCCGCATCCGTGGGGTCGCGGTCCAGGGGCCCAGCCCGGGGAGCTGCGGATGCGAATGCGTTTTCGGCCCAGGACCAGAGCCCCCCCCACCCCAGGACTCGAAGGCACCCCCCAAACGCCCAACACCTCCTAGGTCTTCCGATTATCCCTCCTCCCCTCCTCCTCCTCCTCCTCCTCCTTCTCCTCCTCCTCCTCCTCCTCTTCCTCCTCCTTCCTCCTCCTCCTCCTCCTCCTCCTCTCCTCCTCCTCCTCCTCTCCTCCTCCTCCTCCTCTCCTCCTCCTCCTCCTCCTCCTCCTCCTCCTCCTCCTCCTCCTCCTCCTCCTCCTCCTCCTCCTCCTCCTCCTCCTCCTCCTCCTCTTGCCTCTTGCCTCTCTAGAGGGTGTTCTCCACATACTGGCACCCCTCCCGACCGTCAGGCGTACAGCTCCAGGGACTGGCCGTAAGACTCGTTCAAGGCTGCGCACTGCTCCACGATGAATCCATGAACACAAACCCGTATGCTGCGCACACCGCGACGTATCCATGAGGCCCACCGCAAACAAATGGCCTTGAGAAGCTCAAACAGATTCAGCCCTAGGAGAAGTGATCAACTGCTGTCGGTTTTCTGGCCGCCGTAGGTCTGAGTGTACACAGTTTTCGCAGTAATAATCTTCACAGTCGAACTCGGCGCTGCAAAGGAATAGCTTATTGCCCAAATGGATGGGGCCGGCACAGGAATCGCATTCCAGAGGGTGATCATCAGCTTGCTCCCGGCGCATCCAGTGTCCCCCCGCACAGGCCTTCCTTTGGCTGGCTACAACAACATCCTGCGTGACCTCCGACACCACCTCGGCGGCCGCCGCAGGGGGGCCTGGCAGCGACGTGGCCGAACACACCTCGTCCGACTCATGGCTGTCAGTCTCATGTGGCTTCTGCTCCTCAGTTACTCCGCTCGTCTGTTTTCCGTGCACCGGCCTAAATTCCCCGTCATTCGCATCTACACCCGTTGGGGGGCGGGGTGCCTCGGACGGATGCTGTGCAGGCACCGCAGTGCTGCAAACTAATGGCTCCCACACGCCAAGAGGGCCATGGCAGCTACCAGACTCCAGGCTGACACCTGTCTCGGCATTCCTTGCAAGAAAATGAGCAGCGGCCCCCGCGACAAACACAGTAGCACCACCATTCCAGCAGAAAGAGCCAGGGACCTGTTCAGCATGAAGCAAAGTCTCGAGACGGGGCCCGTGCTGGGCTTTACGCAACTCCTTGCCGTTGGCGCAAGAAATCTTCATCCCAGGGGCCAATGCGTGCAGGGCAACATTGCGTCGTAGGCACTCCTGGTGCTCTGGTTGAATGCCTTCAACCAATTTGACGAGGCAAGGGACCATCGCCACCACTCGATCGGCACCCGCAGCTGGCATGTCCAGGGCGATCGCAGTGGCTGACACCAGGTGGTCCAGCTTCCTCTTGAGCTCGTCCCTCTCGACGCTGAGACGTTGCAGTGCGGCATCCACACTGGCTTGAGCGGCATGCCGAGCAGCTGAGCATTCCGCTCGCGAACGCTTCCAGACACCACCACGGGCATCTTCCCGCGCCATGCCCATAAGCCCAATGCCCCGCTCCCCCAAGTCCCCCCCGCCCGCCGCGATGCCCCGTGAATCTGGGGTCGCAGGGTACGGCTGGGGACAAGGTCCAGGAGCGTGGGGCCTACGGAAAGGCATGAGCCAAAACGGCTACGGCCTCCTTCCCTCCTCCTCCTCCTCCTCCTCCTCCTCCTCCTCCTCCTCCTCCTCCTCCTCCTCCTCCTCCTCCTCCTCCTCCTCCTCCTCCTCCTCCTCCTCCTCCTCCTCCTCCTCCTCCTCCTCCTCCTCCTCCTCCTCCTCCTCCTCCTCGGTCTTCCGATTCCCCCCCCTGCCGGGCGAGGCGCTGAGCTCCACGATGAGCATCCACCTGAGCCTCAGCGGGTCGGACACGGACTGAGCGAGGCGCGCCGGGGGGGCGGGCGCCGCGGCGTCGGGGGCTCGGAGCCGGAAGCTTGGGGGGGGAGGGGGGGTACCCATCGGTCGTTGAAAGTAGGTATTTTTGGATTCCCAGATTCCAATCTACTTTCAGCGCCCTCCTACTTCAAGAGTCGAGTGGTTTTCCTTCTTCCTTCCTCTTCAGGAGGCGGGCGGAAACCCAACGTATTTCCAACGCCTTCCTACTTCATGTTTCTACCTACTTCTTCCGACCGATGGGTAATCGCTCCAGAGCGTTCCGGAGCGCTCTCAGAGCGTTCCGGAACGCTCTGAGAGCGCCATAAAATCTGGGGACATATCATGGCCCACGCCATGATATCCACCCCCCCTAGTAAAACAGGGCTAGGATCGGGATACATCGCTGCAGAGCGTTCCAGAGCGCTCTCAGAGCGTTCCGGAGCGCTCTGGAGCGGCCGCGGCGCCCAATACATCCTTCAAGCCCGCCGATTCTCAGAGATTCCGAGTTATCCCGATCCGATTTCATCCCGATCTTCGCGTCGTTTTATGGGCGTTGCGTAAGGGGGGGGGGTCATAAATGGGGGGGGGGGGGGGGGGCGAGGGTGGTCCGAAAAAGTACTCCAAACGGTTCCTCAAACGAGCCCCCTGGGGCTACGGAGGGGCCCGAAAGGGGCACGAAAGGGGACCGTTTCTGACCCCCCCATTTATGACCCCCCAGTAAGCCACGCTCAAGGTGGGGAGGAAGGGGAGAAGGGGGCAGGAGATGAGGAGGGATACAGGGCTCATGTCGACGCCTGCTCCGATTCGATTCGACTTCGACGACTTCCGATTCCGATTCGATGCGACTCGGGATTCCGATGCGGGTTCTGATTTCTTGTTGGAGACATGCTAGGCTGCCGATTTCTGCCGATGCGACTTTTCCCGACTCGGCTGCTGGTTTCCGCCGATCCGATCCATTTCGATCGCCGATCCGACTTATCGATTCGATTTGGGACTCTCTTCGGGATCGCGGGGCAAGCTAGCTGCGATCGCGCCACATCTGACATGTTCTCCCTCCCCCCATCCCTTCCAATGGCGCACTTGTTGTCTCTATCCGCAGACGCGTGCCATAGCCGACCTGCACTTCCAAAAAGTACCACATAGTGAGAGACAGGGGGCGTAGGAGGATGGCCGAGAGGTAAATCGGAGTAAGACCCAACATGCATCAACGATGCTGCAATACACCCTCCCGTCCCAAGTTCCCTCGTGAGTCCCTTGCGCCCCATTCGAAAGACCAGCGTCTTATGGGCCTGGCATTCAGGCGAGGCTTCCGTTCTGGAAAGGAACTATTTGTTCTGACTCAAAGCAATGGTATTCCCACACATTACAACGAGGCTTTCAGTGAGAGCTGATTTGAAAAACGAAAGGGCGCGGCGTTACGGCGATAGCTCCATTTCGAAAATAGCCCGCCCTCCATTTCTGAAGCTGTTGCAAATTTGAAGTTTCAGGGCCAAAAGTGGTGAAGAAGTCTCAGGCGAAAGCCTGGCCCGCTCTACCACCACGTCTCGGGGCGCGACAGGGAGGACGCATGTAGAAGGAAAAGGAGTGGAGGAGGAGGAGGAGGAGGAGGAGGAGGAGGAGGAGGAGGAGGAGGGGAAGGAGCAGGAGGAGGAGGAGGAGGAGGAGGAGGAGGGGGATGGCGCAGAGAGACCAAGTGGACGCTATGACTTGTTGTACGCTGTACGGAAGCAGCGTCTCTTCCACCCCAGGGCCGCGGCGTTCAGATGTTGTGTTGTTGATGGATTACACAGGCAAGTCGGAGACCGGCAAGAAAAGCATCAACCGCAGCCTGAGGGGCAAGCATCGCCTTACCAGTGTCGAGCACGGGGTTCGCGCATGGCCAGGGATCGGGTATAGCCAGGACCCCGGGTAAGGCGACCCGGTTAGTGGTAGGGCCCTGGGGCCCCTCAATTGGCCAGATTCACTAAACCAGGTCTGCCGTAACTGGTGTTTTTTGGGTGACGCCAGTTGCGGTTAGTGGAAATGGGACGGGGGGGCGCCCCTTGTGTAAATCGTTGAACCAGGTTCCACTAAACCCAACTCTGCCAACGCCCGAAGGGAGCTGGGCAAGCGTGCCCAAGAGCAGTGGTGGGGTTTCTTCTCCACTGATGATGCTGCTCTCCCTCGTGGTGCTCAGAGGCGCGGAGCGAGTCCCCCCGAGCACGTGAGGCCCGCAGGCGTTGACGTGCAGAGAGGTTTGGCCTGTTCGGCCTCACTGGCACCGAGGAGGAGGAGGAGGAGGAGCAGGAGGGGGAGGAGGAGGAGGAGGAGGAGGAGCAGGAGGGGGAGGAGGAGGGGGAGGAGGGGGAGGGGGAGGAGGAGGAGGAGGAGGAGGAGGAGGAGGAGGAGGAGGAGGAGGGAGGGGGAGGAGGAGGAGGAGGAGGAGGAGGAGGAGGAGAGGAGGAGGAGGAGGGGGAGGGGGAGGCCCGCTGGCCCGTCTTCAGGGGGCCGCCCGTTGCCTCTCTCTCGCAGGGGGGGGGGGCCACCTGGTGCCTGTGTTGCACGCTCGAACGGGGTATAGCACCCTTCGCGCTCTGCAGTCGGCGAGGAGGGGGATATGGGGGGAGGGAGGGGAATATGGGGGAGGTCGGAGGAGGATGGGGATGGGGGTGAGGAGGGGACGGGGGGCAAGTGGGAGAGAGGGGGCCAGAAAGGGAGGGAGGGGCAGCAGGGGAGTAGGATGCGGAGAAGAGGGGGGGGGATCAGGGGAGAAAGGCAAGAGTAGCTGTGCCCACGGCTGCTTCTCCCAGCTCTGTCGCAAGCTCCCCGAGAGGGTCATCCGTTTCTGCAAGGCGTCGGCCTTCCCAGAGGGCCTCCAACCGAGGGGACTCGTGGACCTCGTTGCTCCTGTGTCTGCACTCATGCTCACCCTCGAGAACAGGCAGCCACGTGACGAGAAGGAGGAGAAGGAGGAGGAGGAGGAGGAGCAGTCTGCTGCTTCGGTTGCCCCACTTCCGCTGCGCTGGGCCCGCCCGTTCGGGCGCCCCGAGCTGGGAACGTCGCCGAGGGGGATCTGCCACTTGGTTTGGCTCGTCTCTTCGCCACTTCCCTCGCCTCGCGCTTTCGCCCCTCGCCCCCCCCCGCCCCCCTCTCTCTGTCCGTCCCGTCTCTCCGTCTCACCCGTCGTTTTCTTCGCACACTCCGTTCACTGGGTCCAGAATCGGACACCTCGTTCCAGAACGTTCCAGAACGAGCTGAGAAGGCCGATGCGCCCGACACATCCCCCAGAAGGCCGATGCCCCCTTATACATCTTTCAGAACTGCTGGACCTCAATGATCACCGATGTACCCGATCCGACTTTATCCAGATCTTGTGTTCGTTTTAAGTCCATCCACCTCCTCCGTCCAACACCCATGTCCAAGGACCCCCCGAGGTCGTGCTTTCGTGTTTTTACGGCGTCGACCTCTGGACCTCTCGACCCATTCACCGCGGCCGGAGTCTCATCCCGAGACGTTTTCTGAAGGTGGTGGGTCCCCAGTGAGGCGATGTTCTCACGGCACGGAGGAGAACGAGGAGGAGGACGAGGAGGAGGAGGAGGAGGACGAGGAGGAGGAGGAGGAGGAGGACGAGGAGGAGGAGGAGGAGGAGGAGGAGGAGGGGGCATCTTGGGAGCCCCCGCAAGAGCAACCCACGACATTGCGGCTTGCCCTGGCGGGGCCCCGACATCGCTCGGACGTGTGCATCTGTTTCTTCGGCCAGAACCCTCGAGGATCCTCCTCCCCCTCCTCCTGCTCCTCCTCCTCCTCCTCCCCTCCTCCTCCTCCTCTGGGACCTGGACAAGCAGAGGGCAGAGGGGAGGGGAACTCCTCCTCCTCCTCCTCCTCCTTCTCCTCCTCCTCCTGCTCCTCCTTCTCCTCCTCCTCCTCCTCCTCCTGCTCCTCCTCCTCCTCCTGCTCCCCCTCCTCCTTCTTCTCCTCCTCCTCCTCCTGCTCCTCCCGAGCGGAAAATGCGATCGCGAGCCTTTCTGCGGGAAGAAGACGAGGGGCGCGCCAGCGAGCACGCCCGCGGCTCGAAACATGGGCTCGCGCGGGTGCAGGTCCAGCCCCCGACCGGCACACGTTTTTACGGGCATTGGCGAGTGTCCAGCGAGGAGGAGGAGGAGGAGGAGGAGGAGGAGGAGGAGGAAGAGGAGGAGGAGGAGGAGGGGAGGAGGGGGAGGAGGAGGAGGGGGAGGAGGAAGAGGAGGAGGAGGAGGAGGAGGAGGAGGAAGAGGAGGAGGAGGAGGAGGAGGGGGAGGAGGGAGAGGAGTCGGAGGAGGAGGAGGAGGAGGAGGAGGAGGAGTTCCCCTCCCCTCTGCTCTCTGCTTGTCCAGGTCCCAGAGCAGGGCACCCCGCCGGCAGCGCTGCGGCAGTGACGGCCCTCCCGCTGCAGAGGCGGGGCAGCAGCCATAGGCAGCCGCCTTTGCGTCCTCACTTTCGGTAGCAAACCATGGGAGCCTTGCCTGTCTTCGCAATTCCGTACGTCGTTGGAGTGCAGTTGCGTGCTTTGTTTGGTCATCGATGGGAGAGTGCCAAATTAGCGTCGATCAAGTTCGATTTTGCGTCGAACAGCGTCGATTCGTGAGAGCCAGCTGGATGGCATGCGAGGTCCCCAGGAGTTGCTACAGAATGCAGGCACTCGTCCTCGTGCATTGAGGTGCCAGATGGGCACGGCCCTCTGGACAATGGCAGTTCTCGCCACCTCCTCCCCCCTCATCCTCATCCTCATCTCCGATGAGGTTCCTCCCTCCGAGGAGGAACCTCATCCTCATCCTCATCATCCTCATCTCATCATCCTCATCCTCATCATCCTCATCTCCTCCCCCCTCATCCTCCAGTTCTTGCCCTCCTCATCCTCCCCCCTCCGAGGAGGCTCCTCCCGTGTTCATCCTGCGCCTTCCTCTCGAGTGAGCCCCGACGCCGGCGCGGCTTTTCAATCCTCTGGCCTTCACGGTTGCGGGTGGCCCTTGTCCGCTTGGCATGTTT